GACCTATGGGCTTGGGACCATAGTCGCAGGAGACATCAAGCTCAATTGGCATAACATACTACACAAAACATTGTTCCACATCTTACTTTGGCAAGTAGTGACTGGGATCTTAACAGCCTACAAGCGGCCATCTAGATGCAACAATGGGTCTCTCTTCATCCAAAGCAAAGAAGAAGGAAGAAAACCAAAGAATCATGGAAACAATTAGTCCAAGGGAGACTGGTACACCATGTGATCCTCAGTCTATGTGACTATGAGGCCAGAAGAACTAGATGTTGGCCAGCTACCACTGTCAACCACTAGAAGGGGGATCTATGTAGGAGATCCTGGACAGAGTGGGAGAACAATGTGAAACAAAACTCAAAATCATTAAAAAAAAGAAATAAAAAGGAGTGCGGGGACCAGGTTTGCTGGTCTGACAGAGCTTGATGGAACCACTCAGAGTATGGCCCCTAGCTGCCCTTTAGGTCTGGAATTGAACCCACTCCTATGGCTTCCAGCCAAACAAAAGACAGACATATGAGCTAAACGTTTACATTAGGTAGATACACTCCTTGGAGAGATCAATCATGAGAGAATAGAAGGGCTGTGTATGCACAGGAAGACCACTGAGGGGGGGGCAGAGCAGAAGTGCATGGAGGGAAGGACACAAGGAAGAGGTAACTATGGGGAGGAAGTAGGAGGTGAACTATTGCATTGCAGTAAAGTATAGTTAATGTCATGAGACAAACTATATGTGAGCTGCTGTATGGAAAGTGAATTTGCTCTGTAAACTTTCACCCAAATCACAATTAAAAAAAAGAAAAAAGATTCACAGCCTTGGAAACCTTATGTAGTAGTTCTACTCTGCCCTATAGGGTCACTGTTAGCTGGAATCAACTCAATGGCAGTGGGTGGGTAAACTCTTTTGCGCTTAGAATCTGTACAATTGATTTAGCTCCTAATTTCATAGTCTTCTATGTTTTACATTGTTTCATATACTATTTGTTCTCTTAATTCTTGTTGTTGTTGTTATGTGCCGTGGAGTTGGCCCTGACTCATAGCAACCCCTCCTTGGGTTTCCAAGGCAGTATCACTACGGAAGTAGGATTGCCCAGCCTTCCTTCCGAGGAGTGGCTGGTGGGTTTGAACCGCCAGCCTTCTGGTTAGCAGTCAAGTGCTTTAGCCACTATGCTACCAGAGCTCCCTCTCTTAATTCTAGTCACATGCAATTTAAGAGCAAGGGACCATGTTTTATACATTTGTGAACCCACAGAGCATGGTATATCCCTAGACACATAAGGACAAATCGAAAAAATTTTACCTCAAACTCCTTGGACTCTTAATTACATTTGAAATCACAGAAACTCAGAATTAGAGAGGAACCTAGACATTACTCATTTTTCATTCATTCATTCATTCATACATTAACTCATCAAATAGTAACAACCAGCACTAACGTGACTAAGCTCTGGAATAATTTGGGAATAAATAAGACATTGCCGTTGTTTATTTCAAGGGGCTCAAAGACTCCATGGATAGATTCACAAATAACTATTACACATGACACATTCAAAGTGCCATAAAGAGGAATGAAAAAAGCACTATGCCAAGGATTGAAACCTGGGAGCAACGCAGCCTGCATTTGGCCAGCAAATGTTTTGTTTGGCTCAGTGTTTTATTTTATTTTTTTTAATTAGGTGCCAATATTTAAAAATGAGGACATTTCACATAAAAATTCAGATTCCTAGGTCCTGGTGAAAATAAGATCTGGACACACTAGGCCACATTCCTGTATGGTAGCAATTGGCAGGAGCAGAGCAGCAGCTGCCCTTTCAGGCAGAGCATGAGCACTCCAGTTTGCCACACTCTTTGCCATTCCTTATTACTGTCTGAGAGCAAACGCAAATGTACAGTTGCCAGTTATCACCAGCTTATGCTGTTGGTATTTTTATAAGAGTTAAAAGAAAAGTAAAAAAAAGATGTTTTTTCACTCAAATCATTAAAAGTACAAAGGAAAAAAGATAAATTGACAGGGCTATGTGTGTCAAGAAAAGTGGGATGCAAAATGGAAGAATATTCCTAGAAAAAAACAATTATTTGTTTAAGGTGCAAATAAACATCTCCCATGTATGTTACCTGCCTGACTCCTACAGGTATTTGAGTTTGCAACTTCTGTAACACCAGGAAAAATTAAAGGAGTAACGAAGAGCATTGGCTTTAGAATGAGGAAGATCTGAGTTGAAAGCTGGCTCTACCACTTACTGTGTGGCTTTGGTAAACAGTTAAAGCATTTGGCTGTTAATGAAAAGGTCTGTGGTTTGAACCCACCAGCGCTCCACAGAAGAAAGATGAGCCAGTCTGGTTCTATAAAGATTTACAGCCTTGGAAATCTGATAGGGCAGCTCTACTCTTTCCTATAGGGTCACTATGAGTCAGAATCGACTCAGTAGCAGTGGGTTTGTTTTGGATGCTTCAATTTCCTCATCTGTAAAATAGAGGCAATCAGAGTACCTATTTCAGAGGGCTGTTGTGAGATGGCAGTGAAATTAAGGAAGTGCTTAGCCCATCCCTTGGCATATAGTCAGATTTAGCCACTACTAGTACCTAAGGCTAGCTCTGGTAGCATAGTGGCTAAGACACTTGCCTGCTAACCAGATGGCTGGCGGTTCAAACCCACCAGCCACTCCTCGGAAGGAAGGTTGGGCA